TGAGAACTGCTGCCCTATAGGATCACTGTGAACTGGAATTGACTCAAAAGCAATGTATTTGAGTTTTAATTGGTTTCTTATAAGGTATAATTTACATAGCACAAAGTTCATTTTAAGTCTACAATTAAATGACTTTTAGTCAATTTATGAAATTTTAGAATCATCACAAAATCCAATTTTAGAACAATTCTATCATCCACATGCCCCTCAAAAACAAAAATCCCTGATGCCCACTTTCAGTCAGGTATAATTCTCTTCTTCATGTTTAGACAGCTATTAATCTATTTTTTGTCTCTATAGATTTGTGTTTTCTGGAAATTTCATGAAAATGAGATCATGCTATATGTAGTTGTTTGTGTTTGGCTTCTTTCAGTTGAATTTTGCAGTTCATCCATGGTATAGCAGGTATTAGCAGTTTTTCTCTCTTTATATCCATTGCATGGATATATCACATTTTTTATCCATTTAGCAGTTGATGGTTATTTGTATTGATTCCTTTTCTTTTTTTTTGCTTTTATGTATAATGTTGCCTTGAACATGTTTCTATACCTGTTTTAGTTTTTTACCCATTAGAAAAATAGTCATATGGTGACTCTATATTTAACCTTTTAAAAATGCTCAAATTTTCTATCCCAGCGGAGAGAAAATGCCCTATTTTTACATTTCCCACTGCCTGTATATGAATTTATCCATATGCTAGCCAACACTGTTATTATCTTTTTAAGTATAGCCATTGTAGTGGATATAAAGTGAGATCTCATTGTGGGTTTGATTTCTATTTTAACTAATGATGTTGAGTATCTTTCCATGTGATTATTAGCCATTTTTATATCATCTTTGGAGAAATGCCTTCGAATCTCTTGTCCATTTGTTAGTTGGGTTGCATGTCTTAATAAATTCTAAAATATACAATTTTCTGGGTAAAAATCCTTAACCAAATATATGATTTGCAAGTAAGCTCTTCCAGTTTGTGGCTTGTATTTTCATTTTCTTAATGGTATATTTTAAAACACAACAGTATTGAATTTTTTTAAGAGCATTGAATTTTTCCTAATCCCATGCCACAAGGATTTTATCGTGTGCTTTCTTCTAGAAGTTTTATATTTTCTGATTTTATATTTAGATGTGTTATCCATTTTCAGTTAATATTTTATGTGTGGTATAGTCTTATTAACATGTAGCTATCCAGTTGTCTTGGTATGATTTATTGCATAGACTTATCTTTGTCCATTTTATTACCTTGAAGCCTTGTCAAAACTCAATTGATCATAAATTTAAGGGTTTATTTCTAGACTAACAGTTCTGTCTTATTGATCTATATATCTTTATGTCACTATTACACTTCCTTTATTACTATTGCTTTATAGTAAATTTTAAAATTAGGTAGTGCAAACCCTCCAACTTTGTTGTTCTTTTTCAAAATTGTTTAGGCTAGGATAGGTCCTTTGCATTATAAGTTTTAGAATCAGCTCATCCATTTCTCACCCCTCCCCCAAAAAAAGCCTAGGTGACTTTTAATGGGAATTGTGTTGAATGTGTAAGTCAATTTGAAGAGCATTGTCATCTTAACAATATTGAGTGTGACTCTTTATGCTTTTATGTTCTCCTTTCTTTCTGTCCCAGTACCAAAAGGGTAAAGAACTTTTCCAAGTCTCGACGAACCAAAATTGCAAAGAAGGCAGACAAGGCCAGACTGGTGACAGAACAGGTGATGGAGGAAGAATTTGACTTGGATTCAGAAGATGAACTGCATATCGATGAGAGATTGGGAAAGGAGAAGACAACCCTGATAATAAGATCAAGTGTGTCTGTTCTTTCTCTTACCTGCCCTGTTCACGTTTGTTTTGGTCCTCTTCTTAGTATAGAATACCTCTTTTTCTTGTAACAGAAAAATCCTTAGGCCTGGGCCTTGTTAACATCTGATCTATCAAGCTCTTTAGTCCTCTGTCATTTCCATTATTCCAGAGTTTTAAACTTATCCCTGCTCTTCCAAATGAGTCATCTCTGTTTTACTTTTAGGAAAAATTGTCTTATTTTCTTCCCCTGGGTATTTGGCTCAAGTGTTGATCTTAGCTTCATAATAAATATATTCCATTGTTTCCTAGAATTTCCTCGGAAATTGCCCCGTGCAAAGCCTTGCTCTGACCCCAACAGAGTTCGTGAACCAGGAGAAGTTGAGTTTGACATTGAGGTAAGAGCCTTTCTTTTATGTAGCCTTCTGCTCTTTCTGGCCAAAACCAAAAGTATATTTTCATTCTTGTTAGAAGAAAAGAGGTATTCTCTACATTTTATTTCTAAAATATATGTTAAAGGACAGGTTGTATCCTGAATGCTGCTAAACATATAAGTGAAAAAATTACAATTTACAAGTTGAAATGTTTTTAAAATCCTTCAATACAGTGCAATATAAAAGGCACTGTACTATAGTTCAGAGTATCTTACTTGGAGCTGTATGACTTACACAAATAACTTAACCTCATCAAAAATCAATTTCCTTCTCTTTTATAAAGTGGGAATTATGATTACTATAAAGATGCTATGGAGGTTAAAATGGAAAGATGAAAGAAGAGTAAATATTCTGAGTACATGATGCTTAGAATCTACTAGTATTATAAGTGAGTCAACCCAGTATTGGGGACTTAATAGACTAACCCTGAACAGATGAGGTGATATCCTTTCTTCCCAACAGGAGGACTATACAACAGATGAGGACATGGTGGAAGGGATTGAAGATAAGCTTGGGAATGCTGGAGCTGGTGGAATTCTTGATCTGCTCAAGGCCAGCAGGCAGGTGGGGGGACCTGACTATGCTGCTCTCACGTGAGTACTATCTTTGGAGATATCTCCCCTTTCTGTATCATTGGCCAGCAACCTGTACCCTGCAAGGCCTAGGTCAGTCAGTCAGCTATATTAAAGTGACATAAGGTAGACAGAATGTCAGCCCTGAGGAATTTAAGATTTACCACTGATAAATTATATAGATTTCTTATAACATGAGGTATTCGAGGGGAATTCTAGGTACTTTGAAAGTTGAAAGAGGGCCTGGAAGAGTCATAAAAGGAAAACTGGGCCTTTTCTGCATGATTTAAAAAGGAAAGAATGCCGCATGGGTGAACAAAATATTCAGTCAGAGCCAAGGGTTTTGGCTTATGTCTCTCTTTTTGCATCTTGACTGCTGTCTCAGGAGAGACATAAGGCAAGAAAGAACCGGTTTCTTTGATTAAAACAATTTTGATATAGTTTTGATCCTTTTCCTTGATTTCTAGTTTTTCACTTTGAATCGTTCTCCCCTTCTTCCCTCACCCCTGAACTTGTCCTTCTTCTCTGACTGTTCTGATAACTGATTTCCTCTAGCAATGAGAAAACCTCCCTCAGCATGTCTCCTCTCTCCCTTGCAGTGAGGCTCCTGCCTCTCCCAGCACTCAGGAGGCCATCCAGGGCATGCTGTGCATGGCTAACCTGCAGTCTTCATCGTCCTCACAAGCTACCTCCAGCCTACAGGCCTGGTGGACTGGGGGGCAGGACCGAAGCAGCGGGAGCTCCAGCAGTGGGCTGGGCACAGTGTCTAACAGTCCTGCTTTCCAGCGCACCCCAGGGAAGCGGCCCATCAAACGGCCAGCATACTGGAGAACCGAGAGCGAGGAGGAGGAGAATGCCAGTCTGGATGAACAGGACAGCTTGGGAGCATGCTTCAAGGATGCAGAGTATAGTAAGGGCAACTGGACCCTTGGGTCATGGCCAGGAGGGCCCTAGGCACAATTTCAATCCCAAACCCCAAGAGAGTCGATACCTGGCCAGTTTCTAATATTTAGTTTTGTGTATATAAAACATTTAAGGTATTTTCTTTCTAAACCTATAAAATGGATTTATTTCACAAGTTGATTAAGAGTTCAGAGATGATGCTTGCAGAGCACCTCGCACAGTGCCTTGCTCATTAAATGTGCATAAGAAATGGTAGCTATTATAATTAGCTATTAACTATTTTTTAGCATTGTCCAACTTTCATTGCTGGTGACTCTTCCCTCTTGCCTGTTTTATTTTTATCACCTGTATTATTTGTGTCTGTGTTAGCTAGTTCATATCTTTCAAAGGTTATATTGTCCTATCGATAAGCTTTTTACATTTAAGAGATAATTCTTTTTTTAAAGTTAAGATTTACTGAATATCATGATAGGTAAAGCATTATTATAATATATGATTTTATGTGAGTTATATTTTAATATTTTTTAAAATTAACAATATGAATAAATTCTCATTGACCAAAATTATAACAACATAGAGAAAACAAAAATGTCCTTCCCCTCGTGAGCCATAAGGTAACCATTGTTACCAGTTTGATATGTACCTTTTATTTATTGTGTTGGCAGACACACACATAATTTGATTTGTGTGCATGGTTTAGTTCAGCATCACTGCATAGAAACCTACCTGTTTATTTGGTGTTCTATAGCATGGATATATTATCATATATGTGACTATTCCCTTCAGATAAACATTTAGGTTTTTCTACTTTTATTGTTACTAGCATTGTTGAACTGAATAATCTCATAAATATGCTAGCCCCTTTGCCAATTAATATTTATGTAGGGTAGACATACTTGCTGGGTTAAAGGTATAAATGCTGAGAGGGACAAATTCGCTCCCAAAAGAACAAGTAAATGAACCATGTGTGAGAATACTTGTTTTTATAGGGCCTTCATGCCAGTGAATATTTTCTTTCAGTTTTTGCCAGTCTAACATAAAATAGTGTCTCTGTTTTGTTTTTCATATATTCACTGGCTATTTTTTTACTCCTTTCCTATAACTTACCTATTTAATCTTTTGTGTGTTTTCTACTGCGATATTTGTATCTATATGTGATTTATGTTCTATATATAACTTAAGTCGAACACTTGCTACAAATCATATAAACTCTTATTAAACAAAAATATCACATTGTGAAGCTATCGTTTCTCGACATATTCTCCATCTAGGTATATACACTTCTGGCGACTGGGTCCATCTCTTTAACCCTTCCCTAAAGAATTCTATGCTCTTCAATTTATACCATGTCAAAATGACAGTTTTAGCTTCCTCAAGGGACTCAATTTTTGTTCCTTTTCCATGTTCTTTGGGTTTGTGGACAAAGAAATATGAAGGGTCAAGATCAGGACTTTAGGGTAATGGGGTCAGGTTTCCTAATGAAAGTATCACAGGACAGTCCTTACTACCCTCAAAGAATGAGCAGGTACATTATTGTGATGGAGAAAAAATTCCTTAGTATAACTTTTCTGGCCTTTATCCTACCAGTGTCATTTTCAATTTTCTTGCATCTTCTTCCTAATAAGACCTCGTACCCATGCTGCATCCTTCAAGAAAATCTATTAAAATTACCCCCTTCAGAATTGGAAAAAAAAACATCTCACCATAACTTTCTGAGCTGACCTCTCTACCTTGAATTTAACTGGCCCAACAGTTCCCTTTGGAAGGACAAAGAAGGGAAGGGATGAGGGAATTGTTGAGCATTTCCTTGCGAAGCCACTGTTTTGATTGGACCTCTTTTATTTTTTAAGGCACCCTAGCAAGACTAAGACAAATATATTGTTTAAATTCTGTTTGTTTTTTAAACATTTTATTAGGGGCTCATACAACTGTTATCACAATCCATACACACATCAATTGTGTAAAGCACATTTGTACATCATTCTCAAAACATTTCTCTCCACTTAAACCCCCGACATTAGGTCCTCATTTTTCCCCTCCCTCCCCCTCCCCCCTCCCTCGTGAGCCCTTGATAGTTTATAAATTGTTATTTTGTCATATCTTATCCTGTCCGACGTCTCCCTTCACCCACTTTTCTGTTGTCCATCCCCCAGGGAGGAGATCACATATAGTTCCTTGTAATCGGTTCCCTCTTTCCTACCCACTCTCCCTCTACCCTCCCTGTTTCGCCACTCACACCACTGGTCCTGTAGGGCTCATCCGCCCTGGATTCCCTGTATTTTCAGTTCCTATCTGTACCAGTGTACATCCTCTTGTCTAGCCAGACTTGCAAGGTCGAATTTGAGTCATGGTAGTGGGAGCGGGGAGGAAACATTTAGGAACTAGAGGAAAGTTGTATTTTTCATCGTTGTTAACATCGCACCCAGACTGGCTCATCTCCTCCCCGAGACCCCTCTGCAAGGGGATCTCCAATGGCCTACTAATGGGCTTTGGATCTCCACTCCGCACTCCCCCCATCATTCACTATGGTAAGATTTTTTGTTCTGATGATGCCTTATACCTGACCCCTTCGACACCTCGTGGTTGCATAGGCTGGTGTGCTTCTTCCATGTGGGCTTTGTTGCTTCTGAGCTTGATGGCCGCTTGATTACCTTCAAGCCTTTAAGACCCCAGACGCTATACTTTTTGATAGCCGGGCACCATCAGCTTTTTTCGCCACATATTGTTTAAATTCTGGATATGTTAAAAAATAAGTCTTGAAAATGTGTTTCTTGTGTTTTATTTATGATGTCTTTTAGCATGCAGATGGGAGAAAGACAAGCTTTCTACTCTTCTAAAGAGTTATAGTCTTGGAAACCCACAGGGGCAATTCTACCCTGTCCTGAAGGGTCACTGTGAATCTGAATCGACTTGATAGCAGTGAATGAGTTCAGCATGTAGATTTCAATTTTGACATCATCTTTAACAATTTCAATAGCTATTGCAATTTTGTATGTTATGTCTTCTTTAAACTTTCCTAGTTATATTTCCATCTAAAATCTATGTGATTTAAAATGTTAACTCTTTAATTGAATTTAAGTTTGATGAAGTTGGGAGGTAAGAGTTTTTTCCCCGTAAATAGTCATTTATACCAATAACTTATTTCCTAAGTCATTCATTACTATCCACCTGATTTGAAGTCTACTTTTTTCACAAACTAAATTCTTAGATGAGGGAGTTTCAAAAAGTGGCAGGGCGGCGGAAATACCATTATATTTTAATTCCATTTTTCCATGAACTGTTTAAAGCCTCCTCATATATATGTGGACATATTTTTCTATTCTAATCCAAGTTCTGTTCCTTAGGAGCTGCCTTGGGCAGGCTTATTAACCTTTCTATGTATCTCTCTGATTATAGTACCTACTTTACAAGTTTATTGTGAAGATTAAGTAATTTAATATATCTGAGGCACTTCGAACAGTATCCAATATATGGAAAATGCTGTCTTTTTTATGTTATTCTGTTCTGTAAAATTAATTTATTTCTGTAGCAATACCATAATATATTTCTGTAGCAATACCATAAATTAGTTACCATAATCTTTGCTTGAAATAGGGGAAATCATTTTTGCAGAAAATGATTTTAGACATCAGGAGAATGCAACTGTTCAGCAAGCCCATCATTTCTGGACTAATCTCTGATTGCTCCTTAGTGACCTTCCAGACTTCACAACAGCCTATAACCAATATAGCTGCACCGGGTTTAACAGTTTCCTTAGTACAAAAGGCTCACTCAGCCTCTGCTTTCCTCTTCTCCTCCCTTCTTTGCCCAGCAACACTTGAAAGGAGGACGTTTAACAAGAAACACACACTTGTTCTTATTTTCTCAGATTTTTCTGGACTATGTTTGATCTTCTAGATAAATTTTAGAATTTGCTTATCAAATTTCATGAAAGAACCCGACTAGGATTTTAAAAATTAGGATTGTGTGACATTTGTATGTCATTTATGGAGACTGAAATCCTTCCACCCAGGGACCTTTCTGCTATAATGAGATGATCCATTCCTAGAAAATATTTGGCTCTGCAAATGTACACACTACAAATAAAAATAATAGGGCTACAATAAAAAGATATTTAGGGGCTGTTGTTTTTCATATGTTTTATTCTTGTCAGACCAAGTTATTAGCAGCAGCTCTCTCTGGAAGGTAGGTTAGGCTTTGAAACCAAATCAATGACCCAAATTATTATAGTCCTCTTTTTATAATCTTTGTCTATTGACATTTGCACTTGGAATCAGTTAGTATACTTAAATTCTGGGATGCAGGATTCCTATTTCCAGAGGTAGGTCCTTAAGGGCCTTTGCTAAAATAGGCACCAGAATCATCGAATTAAATTCAGGGCCTAGTCATTTTCTTTTTTTTTTTTAAACAGATGGTCTCCTTTCCTACCCACTCATAGCAACCCTATAGCACAAGGTAGAAGCAGACTGCTGTATCTTTCCCCACAGTGGGGCTGGTGAGTTCAAACCACCAATCTTTCAGTTCATAGGCAAGCACTTTTTTAACTACTATGTACCAGTGTTTCTTCTTTCCCGCTAGTGCTTTAATTTCATAGAGAATAGAGTGCTACTGGCTCTTTCTCTGATGGAAAAACAGTATTTTTATCTTTTATCAGAAGGATATTTATATTTTATCTGAAGGTTTTCATATTTGAAAAAGCTTTCTCAGTAATTGTGAGAAAGTTCACCACTGATTAGTTAAAAACAAAATTCCGGGTAACTTTATTTTGAGTACAACTATTGGATGGTATTGACATCATTCTGCTATTTTCCTGTTAGGTATGAGTAGTCATAAATCCAGCTTGTCTATCTCCATTTATTCAGGTTTTCTTATATATCCTTTATATCCTTTGGTATATTTCTTCTTCAGTTTATTCCTAGGTATTTTATTACTTGCTTCCTATTCACAGTGACATTTCTTTTTATCTATTATGTTTTCTGATTGGATATTGCTATTGTGGAGAAAAAC